AGCTAGTATGTGATATTTTACTACCTACTTTTATCTAACTGTGTTTTATAAAAGGTTCATGAGGAATAAACAGGAAGCCTTCGCTGAAATGTTTGTTAAAAACTGAGATCGCCTTCAACAATGAACCCCCTTTGATGTTGTATTGCTTTCTGGAATTGATGGAATATATTCATATCTTTCTTCAAGATTGATTTAGGGAACATTAGACATGTTGAAAATTTAGTGTCTTACCTGCCAAAAGAAAAAAAACTATTCTTCCGCTCAAAGCAGTCTCATTTTGTTTTCAAATTTACATTTTTAAGCAATTGGGCAGGCCCATTCAGATTGGACCTACCCATCATGGTTAGGGCTGGCAATTCTGTAGACCTCCTGGGCTCGACAACACCAAGTAATGAATTTTTGTAGTCTTATTCAGGAAGCTTCTTTTAGCCTTTTGGATAAAAGCACTGGGCTGAAATAGTGAGCATTTCCAAAGAAGTTTAGAAATACAAAATACATGTTTTTTGCACTGTACATATTTGTATTTGTAGTCTTTTCAAACTAGGCCCAAGGCCTAAAAGTAAAATTAAACTACTCTTGGCGAGTGTTCAGCAATGTCAAACCAACCTTTCAGGATGCAAATTATGGGCTGAGCTAGTGAGTTTGTCCGTCATATTCCCTTCTCATAGATGTGGAAGGTAAGGCACAAGTAACGTTTTGCTCAGTTTCAACCTTTCTTTGTTCTCCCACTACATCCTTTGTAGTTAGGATCTCCTACCGACAAGATCTCTACCCCCACTCTCTCCTTTGAGTACTTTGGTTTTAGAATCATTTGTGAGCAGAATTCACATTTGCACACCGCAAATGCCCCATAGCATATCCCAATTGTGTATAGGGATCATCTTCCACTAACAGCTTTGAGAGATGTCCCTAATGCACACTGAGATGTGCATGTGGGGCGTTTGTGGGGCACAAATATGATCCCTGGTGAGTGACCAATACCTGTTATACAAGCTTTGCTCCAATGAGTGCTGGCAATCTAATTCATGGAAGCCCATTAGGGCATTGTTATTTTGGCCATAGAGGCTCTATCTATAAGGCGTTTTTTGATTTATTGTCTCAAGAACCAATATCAAAACTTGGGGAGATTGAAGATCGTTATTGAAGATTGTTCAAGGCTTTTTGAGTCTATGGAGCATGGAGTGGAGTGGAGTACAGACATTCTTTTAGGGAAGCAAATCAAGCTGCGGATTGACTGGTGCGTGAAGCTCTATCTCATAGACGGGAACCTCTTCCTTTCAATCCCCTTGCTTTGCCTAGTGATCTAGCTCATATTTGTTTGTGTGATGTTTCGGGCCAAGATTCCCCCTGTCTTGTGTATCTCCTCCTAATTTTTACCAAAAAGAAATGCTTATCATTAAACTTAACTTCAATATTTAACATATCTTTCCATTTTAGGAGTGATCCACCAACAGTTCCATGATATGTAGCATAAAATGGTTGAAACAATTTATTTTCAGAAGAAATGATGAAAGGTGGGTTTCACTTCTTCCCAGCCGAGGTGCTACATTTGGCCACCATGGATCCTCCAGTGATCGTTTCGATCACCCCGACGATGTGTTTGTCTTGGGGGTCATTGTGTTGATTCCTCGACTGGTTGAGTGCTCGGTTGTCTTTCTTAATAAATTGTTTTAGGTACCCACAACTGATCAACTCTTTGATCTAATTCTTGAGATCTTGGTAGTACTCCGTGTCGTAGCCCTTAGCTTAGTGGAAGTGGCAATATCTATCCTGGTTTTTGTTCTCCTTTTCCCCCTTCATGCGTAGTGGCCACTTGAGGTAGTCCATCTTTTTGATCTGCATGAGGATCTCCCCTATTTTGGAATTTAGTGGTGTAAAGCTATGGTATTTTTTCGGGGGGAGTTCAGGAACACTTGGATGGTGATTTAGAGAATCTAGACTACCTTTTATCACACTAGCTTCACTTAATACTAGCTTCCCCATGCTCCTCATCATAGTCTTTCATCTTCCTTTTACCTGAGTAGCTGGCTCCTCAATTAGCCCCTCTGCATTCATGTGATTTTGAGTGCAATTGAGAAAGTCCTTCATGTTGTTTGGAGGGTTTTTAGCCAAGGAGAATCTAAGGTAGCAGTATTGGGCATTGTGGATGGCGGTAGTTACCTAAACAATTGGATCGAGTCCTCAAACTTGCAAAGACTCCAGGTTAAACCTCCAAACATACTCTTAGAGTCTCTCCCTAGAGCGCTAGTAAATGGTCATCAAGTTGGTTATAGTCTTAGTATGTCGTAGGCTAGTGATGAAGTGTGTAGTGAAGAGCTCGAAGAACTACTTCTAGTTCATGATGGAGACTAGTGCCAGTCCCGAATACCACATCTATGTTGTCTGGTGGAAAGTGGTTAGGAAGGCCAGGTGCATGGTCACCTTTGAGGCCCCATGGAGTAACATGAGGGGCTGAAAGCTCTCCATGTGACCTAGTGGGTTGGCTATCCCATCATACATCTCAAGGTTAGGCGTCTTGAAATCCTTCGAATGTGGTTCGACGAGGATGTCAGTGGACAAAGGCAAGGGATGAGTGAGCTCGGGGACGCCAGAGGTTTCATCAGGGCTAGTTGCACAGGGAGACCGAGGTGGTCCTTCACCGACGCATGATGTAATGTAGCCATGTGCTACTCTAGCATAGGTACCTCAGGCTGGGGGAGCCTTAGTATGGCCATGTGCTGCTCCCAGGCTTGAACATTGAAGTCCATTCCTCGGATGTAGTATATGAGCTTCTAGAATTGGTGGGCAATCTACTTTGGTTGGGATCATGGAGGGGTCAACACTTTGTTGTTACCCTCAGAAGAGGATTTGATGCCATTCTATTGCGTCCCTTTTCCATTGGGTCATGACATGCTGAAAATGGTGATGGGGAAATTTGTAAGGATGTATTTTAATGCATTTCCCACAAACAACTCAGATGCTAGTAAGTAGGTTGGTAGGTCAAGTCTGCAAAGTGAGCATACGTCAAAGAGCCTATGGAATGGACTTGGGCAAAGGAGCTCTGACGATCAAGCTAGTGCCAAACTGTGTGTGTGTGTGTGTGAGAGAGAGAGAGAGCCAACATATGCCTATCATTAGTGGGCGAGGGGCCGAACTTATATAGGATCCTGGGTTCGATCAGAACACACCTGGCATAGTCGGAGGTAACGGTCCTCAACCATCAAATGCCGATGGATACTTTGGAATGTTCACTAGGTTGACCTCTCACCGCTTGCCCAAGAAATGGGGGAAACTAGTGTAACTGTTACCACGTGGGCGACGTGACCACTAAGTATCTCAGGAACATTAAGTGGATCGAATGGACCAAGGTGGGTATGCCGTGTAGGTCGGACTCTACGAGGATGGATAGCTTACCAGGTTGCTGGTTGTCCAAGTCAGATAGGTGGATAACTCTCACACAATTCAACTCAATATCCTCTTGTAAATTCATAGGAGAGGGATCAACCAAAGTAAAAGTGGGCACTTTACGGTTAATGTAACAAGTAGTAGGAGTTAAGACATTCTCCATACCTGATTTGGTGGGCCCACTACCCGTTGGGTCAGTTGGGAACCCGCCTCCCACATTTTGCCAGTTAGTTATAGTAACTACTTGGTGAGAAGCAGCGACGGCTCATTGACCATTCCATCATCATTGAAGGCGACTCCTTGATCGTGATTTCTTGTCTGAAACGGTTCATCGACCCCCCTGGAATCTATAGAACATCATTGAAGAGTGATTGAATATGAAGAATTGAGCAAATGAAGACTTGGCCTACAATCATGTGTAAGGGGAAGCTAATCAAGCGGCAGACTGGTTTGCCAATGAAGCTTTTTCTTCCCTATAGGGTATAGTAAGCCTCAATCTTAGTGATCTTCCAAGGAATCTAGCTTGTATTTGTAAGTCTGATTTTTGGGGATGTGCTATCCCCCGTCTTATGTAGCCCCTCTTGGTTTCTATGAAAAAAAAAAAAAAAAGCAATGGTTTCAATTGGAGCATCATCTGAGCGATCAGTTTCAACGTCATCATTCTCGCCGAAACTACCAAGAGCAGACTCACTGGTATTGGTGGACGACTCTCCATGGACAGAAAGGGTTTGTCCATGGCTGCTAAACGTGCTAGAGTGGTTTCACAGGTGCAATTTTTCAAAACCGGCTTAAACTTAAGCTTGGATTTACAGAACACGTCTTCATGGCTGATACGAACACACAACATACACTATCAACGGAAAGAGCGAAACCACTAAGAGCTCGCAAACAACTATAACTGTAAGATATATGTATCATCAATTCTTGTTTTATAAAATTGCCCAAGGCTTGCGAAAATGAAGTAACGTACAATTCCCATGAGTGAGGTTCATTCAGGTCACATGCAAGTCGTTCCCTCTTACAACCCCTAATGAGACTAATTTGAAGAATAGATAATTCACCACATTTATCTACAATTGTTCTTGGAACATCACCAAGTGAATATCCAACTCGACGCTGCAGCTTCTCACCATCTCAGTGAGTCAAGTTTCAAGAAACTGTATCAAAATTGTTTATTTATCAGCCAATTTTGGAACATGTATCCAGCGGTGATGGCTTGACCAATTCCTCCAGATTTTGTCATTATTCAACTGGAGAAATTGTTCCCAAAATTGTCATTATCCAGCGGTGGTGCACTTGTTTTAAGTCATAATATTTATTCAATCATTGTCTCTCAAAATTTCATGGCTAATTAATTTAATCCCTTGATAAATATAGGCACCATATTAATATTATACCAATCACTAAACATCCTCTTTTCTTTTACTATCTTATTAAAACCAAAATCCTATAATATTAGTAATGATCTTTTAATACATAATGGATTCCAATGTCATAAAAAATAACATTATTAACCAAAAACAATGATTTTCATCCACACAGAAACATAGAACAATACAAATATAAATTAAAATAAAGAAAGTTAAACACTCGTAACTAAGTTACTAAAAAGACACTTGGTAACTAAATTTCCTTATTTACTTAATGAGGAGATCACTCGGTTTTCTTATTGATGCTTTAAACTCCTAATTTAATAGTCCACAACAATATCTTTATATATTTTTTTGCTTCTTATTCCCACGTAAAGATAGAGGAGTGGATTCCGTAAGAAACCACTTTCAAACCATGTCTTGTACTCCCAAACAAACCTCTTTTAACAGCACTTGTTTTCCATGCATGCACCATACCAACTAATCAATTCTGTTGACTCTATTGGCTAACAATCCATTCAAAAGGCTTGAAAATCAAATAATCCAAAACGCGTCCCCAAAAACCACGTTTGGCCTTTTCTACCGCTTCCTGAAAAAGAGTGGGAGCGCAAATGAATTGAATAAAGTTCTAAAAGAAATTTTGCTTTGTATTTTTTTTATCTAAAATAAAAAATGAAGTTGATTAAAGAAAAAATTTAAGGTAAAATTTATAGTGCATTTTATGGAAATCGCTACAACACAACTCAAACATAGACGGATCAGTGATAATATACCTT